ATATGCACGAGCCCCTTCACCTGGTAGGCTCTGACTGCTTGGTCGTAGGCGAACTCGCGGGCCAGGACGTTGAGGTCGGGAGCTTTCGCGCTCCCTTTGGCCAAGGCCTTCAGGAAGCCGAGGTTGTCGGACTTCGCCCGAAAGAGGGCGCCATGAACGAGCGCAGGCAGCCACAGCCTAAACGCCACCAGTAGCGCAAGGCCCTCCCACAAGGTGTTGTGTTTCGGGAGGCCGCGCTCTGCCCCGAACTTCTTGAGGACACCGTCCGGGAGGTGGCTGTAGAAATAGCCCGTCGGCTTTCCCGAATGCCGCCTCACTCCTCCGATGCCCCAGGGGGAAGCGTCTGTGACGATCTCCAAGTCGGTTCTCGGCGGGCGGGCGTAGAAGATCTTCTCGATGGTGGGGCCGCCAGACAAAAGGGCCCTAACCCAGCGCAGCGCTGGTCTGATCCGTCGGACGTGTATGAGCTTTCGGGCCTCCTTCACGGGGAGGCCTTCACTTGTCACAGCATGCCTCGACAGAACCGACCAGAACGAAGCCAGGAATGGCCTCAAATGCGGGACCAGCCCCGCCACGAACGAGAGCGCTCCCGTGTAGGACCTGAGCTCCCGAGCTCCTGCCACCGGCTTTGAAAGAAACCTGTTGGTGTCCGCGAGGAGGGCCTGTATCTTGGCCTCCGGCAGGGTAACCACAACCGCCTCCTCAGCGTCCAGGCACCTTATCTTTGCACCGACCCATTCGAGCTCCTTGCCCCCCGTGGCCTTCGACAGTTTGATGGGGTAGCCGCAGACAGCCGTCCAAAGGAGGATCACCGACAGGTCTCCGGCCGCTGCCTCTGCAGAAGGACCCTCCAGGACATAGATGGGGTCGTCCACGTAGCATTGCAGATCGGCTGGGGAAACCGCGGCGGACGTGCGCCCAAGCCATGCGGCGGCCCTGCCCCAGATGGTGGGCGAAGAGGCCGAACCAAACACCAAGGTGTTGAAGATGATGAGGCGGTGTCTCTTGCCAGGCCGGTTCCTCGAACCCGGGACGGCTGCGACGGTGAAGCGTCGGTCTGCCCCCGCAGGTATGTTCATGAAGGCGTCCTTGATGTCAACGCCTGCGAGGTAGGGGGGTCGGCCTCGCCGATAGGAAGCCAGCGCCGAGGCGACGACATCCCAAAGGCGTGGGAGTATAATCCTCTCCCCTTGGTGGCAGGCCTTGTTGACAGAGGACTCCCGGAGGTCCCAAATGACCCTTGCCTTCTTCACCACCTTGCCGTGGGCATCTCGCTTCTCCTTCACCAGAACGCCCAGCTTGTTGAGGACCGGCTTTCCACCCAAAACCTCCTCTGCCTCTTGCTGGGAATATGCAATCTGGCAGAAGCCGCGGGCCACGTAGTCGCTGATCAGCTCCTCTAGGGTCTCCGCTTCTTCCTCAGCTGACTGATAGTTCGACCATCCTTCCAGGGTTCGGGCGTCCAGCTGGGAGTGTGGCGTGACGTTGTGGGAGCTGACCTTTGGGAACACTCCTCGGCTGGGAATCGCCTGGGAGATCCCTAGGGGTGCGCCGTTGTCCAACCAGTTGGCGAGGGTGGCCGCGTCTGGGTCCTCGGTGGCCAGGTTCCAGGACTCTTTACTGTCCGCCCTGAGCGGGGTCTCGGCGGGAGCGGTCCTCCTCCTGGCTTTCACTTTGTCGCTCCTGCCCAGGACGGTGTGGACGGCGGACGAGTCGACGGTGGCCGTGTCGAAGTCGCTCGGCTCCTCTCCTCGAAGGATAGCCCGGGCTGGCTCGACGAGCTCTGGCCACTTCGCCAAGGTGTGGCGCAGGAGCTTGTGGATAGCCCTGCGCACCCGGCGTGACCTCGGGAGCCGGCTGAGTGCAGCGCGCGGGTTGCGCATGCCGCCCAGCGCCTCGGCGTTCTCCCGCTCGCGGTCCGTCTTGTCCTTCGGGAAGGCGATCAGCTCCTCCTCCAGGTGGGGCGTTCAAAGGTCCTCCCTCTCCAGGGCCCTCTCTCGGAAACCCTGGTAGAGGCAATGAGCCACGACCTGCGCAAAATGCGGCGTGTACTGGCCCTGGCCCTTCGAAGCCCACTGCGCGCCGGATGCTCCCTGCTCCCTCTGGCCGGCAACTGTGCCATGAGTGCCGCGAGGATGGTCGCAGCGGAGCCCGCGAACCTCCTCCAACCCCTTGGCGTGCGCACTGTAGAGGACCTTGGTGGGCTTAACAGTGGCAAGGCCGAACCGACATTGGTCGAACACTGCCTCGGCTGTCCTGTCGAGCTGGGACAGCTGGCGAACGAGTGGCATCTGCCAAAGCTCGGGCCTGTCGCTGCCATGGACGGGGTTCTCCAGGCCCCAGGTCTTGCGCTCGTCCCACGTCAATGACAGAATGTCGAAGGTGCGCTCAACGAGGACGTTGGCCTCTCTGACCTGGTTCTTCTCCCGAGGCCCCAGGCCCGAAATGCCCTCGATCTCCTCCACCGATCGCAGAGGTCTGGGTCCCGGCCTCACTTCGCGTGCGGGCTGAACGTGCCACAAACCGTGCCGGCCCAAACCACCTCAAAGTGACCATCGTTGACATCCTTCTCTAGGGGTGTCCATTGTGCCTCGTCCAGGGCGTTGCAAGGGTGGTCGGCCACCAGGTCAATACAGCAGACCATGAACCCAAAGTGAACGAGCCAGTTGGGGAGGTCCCCCTTGCGGCGCCTGCCGCTAAAGAGCACAAGGGCCCAGGGCCGCTCCTCGAAGGTGTCCGAGGGTATCTCCAGCCAGGTTCCGTACTCACGAGGTCCCCGGGCCAAGGGCTGGTAGTCAGGTAGAGCGCCGGCAGCCGGTGGTATCTGCAGCAGGCTCTTGAGGCTGGCCGTTCGGGTGCCTCGGCTCGTCTCCTTCTTCTTTCTCTTCTTGCCTTCGCCCGGCCGTGCCCTAGGTGGAGTCGTGGCTCCAGGTCCGTCGGCAGGCCGTGCCTCCGCAGAGGACGTGGCTGGTTCCGCGGCCGCCCCTGTGTCCGGCGGGTCGCTGCGAGGCTTGGGGCCATCTTGCCTCTTTCTCTTGAGGGGAGGCCTTGGTGGCGTTTTGGGCGCTGCTTGGCCTCCAGGTGCGGGGCCAGCTGCCTTCGAAGCGCAGGTCTTGTCCACGAGCTCCTGAGGTGTGCTGGCCGCCGCCGGCTTGCCCAAAGGGTACTTCTTGGGCTTCGGTGCTGCAAAGCGGCCTCCATGCGTAGTGCCCGGTGGGTCTGCTGGCACCGATCCTCCT